ACACCTCCATATTGCGCATAGCTGTTTGTGCACATCCAATGCAAGCGCGCCTGTCAACTTTGACGCCCGTGTGCTTATGGACCACCGTGGTCGTCGCAGGTTGATGATGACGCTCTACATTCGCTGGTTTGCTTTGGCGACCCTCGTGGCCGGGTCGCTCTCTGCGTCGGTGCGCATCCACGCACACATGCTGGAATCGCCCCATCCTCACTGCCCACGTCCCCGTCAACAGGTGCAGGACCAAGACGGGACCGGGGCGACCGACCGCACCCTCATGTTTTCAACTGTGCCAGGGCCGGGACCCGCCCCCCCGACCAAACCATGGGAGTGCCCCCTCCCAGAGTACAAGCAGAAGAAGGGACCGAACTCTCCGACTGGCTTCGGGCCGACGTGCGATCCCACGAGAATCGGGACGGAGAACGACCACCTGACGGAACCCCGGGAGCGGAAGGAGTGGCGCGAGATGAGCAAGACCGAGATCGACAGGTTCGCGTGCGCGCTCCGAGTCATGGACGAAACGACGACCAAGGAAGGCCGAGCGTGCTACGGCAAGACCTTCTGGGCCTTCGCCGATCTCGTCAATCTGCACGCGTGCGCAGCAGCGGACCCGCGCGGCGACCAGGGCCACCGTACTTTCTGTAACTAAGTTCCGGACACAGTCGTTCGTGCGGACCTTCGAGATGGCGATCCTCTCCATCGACCCGAAGATCGAGGCGATCCCCTGGTGGAACATGCCGCTGGACAGCGCGCCCGTCCTTTTCCTCAACGGGACCGAGAAAGTCCCGGCGGGGAAGTACTACAAGGATTGCGACCCAAAAAAGACAAAGGATTGCGACCCGAAGAAGTACATCTGGACGGACAAGTACTTCGGCAACCAGACCGGGTCCGGCCCAAACTTTGAAGTCGCGGACGGGCGCTGGGCGTACCGGAAGTTGCATCGATACGGCGACTTCGACCACGAGTACTGGAGCAGCTATCCTCCGAAGGGCAGCGATCCTGCTCCGGACCCCGTGACCAACCCCCCCGTGACCAACGAGTGCGTCGTCGGCAAGTGGTTCTCGCCCCGGAGCCCAATTGTGGGTCCGCTGCGCAAGCAGAAAAAGTTCGATCACAATCTGGACCAGAACTGCGTGCGCTGCTGCGACGCGCCCAAGTACGGCACCGACGAGAACTGCAAGTGCGACCAGCCTGAGGACCTCGTGGACGTCTACATGCGCGGGCCGACGCTCGACACAGCGACGTGCTCCCCGTACGTCACCCGCAACCCGAACGGACGCGGCGTTGGCACGAGCCCGGTTAAAATCGGCAACGAAAAACAGTTTGATGGAAACGGGCGCTCGGACCAGGACTCCCTCCTCCGCTACACGCAGCACGACTTTGACGCGTGCGCCAACTCCAACAACACGCGCAACTGGATCGAGTGGCAGAACTGCCAGGAGGAGAACTTGTTCGGCACCCTCGAAGGCGTGTACTGCCCGGCTGACAAGGAGACGTGCACGCAGAGCGAGCTCGAGAAGGTGTTCGCCCTGCACTCCTCGGCACACGACAAGACGCTGGGCGAGATTGGCGACGTGACAACCTCGCCTTCGGACCCCGCCCTCTTCTTCTCCTACCACGCCTACATCGACAAGAACTTCATGGCGTGGCAAGAGAGCATGATGGACACTGGGCGGTTTACCGACCCTGTCAAAAAGGACCTTGGCCCACACGACAAGAGCGACCCGCCGGACCTAACGAACAAGAACTACTTTGGCTACCCCCGAAACGTGAAGGTGGAAGATTGGCAAGCCCATGTAGACGAATTCGTAAATGTTCAGTTCATCGACGGGATGGTCAAGGCGTCGAATCAGAGGATGACACTGCGAAACTGGGTCGCGCCGGTCTCATTCGATCACTTCGATTTGCAGCTGTGGCAGGACTTGCTCGGCAAAGACGGGCAGACACAGTGGATGCCGCCCGGGCACCAAAACTCGTCCTTGGCGGAACAGTGGCACGATGCGGCGACAATGAACGACACAGACGCGAAAATGATCTACCAGGTCCACGCCGGCGTCGACCCCAACGGCAACGAGTACGATGCCGAAGAAATTGACACTGAAGACCTTCTTGGGCCCGCCTGCTCCAGCCTCACCAATGTGTGGGGTGAAACAAATGATGCCGAGCTGTTTGAAATTACGAATGCGCGCGGCAAGCCAGTCCGCGGGGTGTTCAACCCCCTTTTCTCGTCGAACTGCGACCAGCCAACCTTCCCGTCCCCGCAGCCCGGATCCCTGACCCACAACCTCACGCAATGCGCCAGGACGTACTCCACGTCGGGTCCTTTCATTTACATGACAAAGTACCGCCCCCCGGACTTCTTCAACCGCGGCAGGCAGGCCAACCCGACTCTCCCGTGGGTCCCGGGGACTCTCCTGCAAGACATCGCCCTTGGCGGGCTCCCGTTCCGCAACCTGTTCCCGACTGACGACGGAGGCGAATTCGGGTACTCAAACAAGGAGATCATCGAGCTGAGCATGCCGTGCCTCCACGGCCGTGCGCCTAACAACAAAGACAAACCATGCTCGCCGTACTACTACAGCAAGGGCGAATGATCCACTGCAGGGTCATCAATCAGGGTGCCGAAAAATGCCTTCAGTGGCCACACCCTTCTTCCCACCCACGCGGACCGTAGCGCTACCGCAACTAATCGGAAAATGCAATGGAACCATGAGCCGTTAACGTGGACGTAGCCAGGACGAATGCTAGTGCAACGCGAGCACAACCAAGCAAGGCGCGCAGATGTAATTTGCAGATCGATCACCCGACCATCCCTGCATATGCGCGGGCCTTGGTCCGGTGCCGCAACGACGAAAGACGCTTGTCGGCACTGGGCCAATCCTTGAGTGAGCGCTGAACACTGACTGTGCGTGAGGGGGGGTGAACCGTCGCAGTCTAGTCTAGCGTGCGTGCAGCGGTGGCTCGGAGCGTAAGCGCTCTCGAGCCACGGCCTGTGGCCGGGCTCGATTCCGGCACGGGGCCCGCAGCGCTGTCAGCCTACGTCTCTGGACTGCCGTCGCGTTGTCTTTCCGGCACCATACCGGTCGGCATTGTTGGGTTGGCACTCGCCACTCCTGTTGTATTTAGTGGGTGAAATGTTAAAATTTGAAAGTCGCGCTTCTTTAATTAAAGTTATAAAGAACTTCTTAGCTCTCCGCCCTCCCCCCTCCCCGGCCCTAGCGCGCTGGTAGCTCTAGCTGTACACACCTGGTATCAGCTATCACACGGCTTCACTCCACTCTGTGGTCTATATCTCTACGTACTGGGCCACGTAAAGCCGTATGCCGGTATGCCCTGTGAATGTGTCGTCCGCGCTCGCGGTTTTCAGCCCTAGTCTAGAGGGTGTTGTCGGTCATGTCTCTTGTGACCCCCATGAATAATACTTAAGAGACATGGCCAAGCGCACTCGGCGGAGCACCCTCGCTGCTGCGTGCTCGGTACTGCTCTGCTGCACGGCACCGCACACGCACACCGCCGCAGCGCGCAGGACAGCCCGATATTAGCCTTCACTCGCCCTCGTCAGAGGTCTGAGAAGTCAAAGTCCTTTCCCAGCCGGATGGCCCCCTGGCCCTTGCCTCCCTTCCGCCTCTTGCCCTGGGGCCGCGCCTCCTCCGCCTCGTCCTCGGTCTCCGCCTCGGCACTGGCGGCGCCACTCCCGCCGTTGCGGGCGGCTCGCCTGCCCAATGCCGCCTCGGACACGTCCCACAACCGCACGGTGCCGTCGTGGGCGGCCGTCGCGGCGAGCGCCCCCTGCGCGTCGACGGCGAGCGCCTCGATCGGGTCCGCGTGCCTCCCGACCTCGCCGAGCATCCTCGACGGGTGGAGCGACGCCGCGCGGAGGACGCCGTCGGCGGAAGCGAGGAGGAGCGCGTGCTCACTCAGCGGCGCCAGCGCCTCGATGGCCTCGCCCGAGCCGAGCACCGCCTACGGCACGCGTCCAGGACGCGTCAGGGACGCCCCCCCTGGTGTGGTGAGTCGCCCGCCTGGCGGCTTGCGGGCCGGGGTGAGCCGATCGGAAAAGTCGCCAAAGTCTCCCCACGAGAAGACGCCGAGGACGCCCGAGTCAGATCCGGCGAGGAGCTTCTTCCCTCCCTTGAGCGGCGCCAGGCAGAGCAGCTCCTCCTCCAGCTCATCCGAGCGCGCCTCGAGCCGCCCTTTCGGAGAGGTGGCCGTCCGACGAGCAGCTCGCGAGCTGCAGGCGCGGCAGCTCAAAATGGAGGTCGTGCACCACGTCCGAGTGCTCGTCAAAGCGCATCACCGCCCCCCTCTGCCGCACGTCCCACACGCGCACCGCGCCCTCGTCGTCCCCCGTGCCGACGCCGTGCGGCCCCAATGGCGTGCAGACGTTGACCGCCGACGCGGCTTGTCTCCGGTGGCGCCGGCGCCGCCGTTGAGCGCGAGAAGGCGGGCAAACACCCCGCCGTACGCCAGCTCGCGCGCCGTGTGGGTGCGGGAGCGCATGGGCGCGGCGGCTGCCGCCGCCGCCCCCGGTTGGGCGACGGTGGGCGGCACCGCGGGCGGCGGCGCGCCGAGAGCAGACGCGTCGCGCAGCAGGCTGTCGCGCGTGCCGCCCCACGCCTCCTCGAAACTGGACCAGTAGGCCGCGTCGTACCGCGCCGTCACCAGCTCGCCCGCGCGACGGACCGACTCGACCAGTGCACGGCACTGCTCACGCGCGAGCAGGCTGTCGACGTCGCATGCGGGCGCATCCACAGCGGTGGCGTCGGCTCCGCCGCCAAAGGCGGGTAGGTCGGCCGAGGCCTCGTCGACCGCCATGTCGAGCGTCGCGGCGTCGAGCCCATCGGCGTCTATCCCCTGCTGTGCGAGGAAGCGGTAGGCCATCGCCGTCGCCGCCGGCGCACGAGCGGCAGCCGACGCCAGCGCGCGGGTCTCGTCCTCGATCTGCTGGAGCGAGCGCGACACGGGTGGGAGCCGGAGCCCCTCGCCCGCAATCGACGCCTGAAGGGCCCGCGCGCCCTGCAGGAGGGGGTCGTCCATTGTTTTTCGCTTGCCCCGCCGAGTGAGTGTGTGCGAGGAGGGCGGAGCGGGAGCGCACGAGTGGGAAGTGGGAAAGAAAAGTACGTTTGTCCCATTACAGGAGAAAGACAAGCACACACCCTCTAGCGCACCACACCCCTCTCCTTAAAATCCCTGTGTGGTGGCGGCGTGCCGTTCTCCCATCCCTCCCTTGGGTTGTCTCTTTTCTTTCTTTCTTTTAAGCACACCCTTGGGTTGTCCGTTTTCTTTCTTTTCTTTCTTTAAGACGAGCACTTGTTCTCTCTCTCGTCTCTCTCCCTCTCTCCCTCTCTCCCTCTCTCTCTCGTCTCTCTCTCGTCTCTCTCGTCTCTCTCTCTCTCTCTCTCTCTCTCTCTCTCTCTCTCTCTCTCTCTCTCTCTCTCTCTCTCTCTCTTAATGATCGGGTATTAATTATTAATTATTAATCACTGAGCGGCGGCGCGGCGCTGCGGCGGGCGGCGCGAGGCGGCGGCGCGGCGAGGCAGCGGGCGACGCAGGGTGGCGCGGCGCGGCGGCGGGTGGGGTATTAGTTAGTTATTAATTAATACTGAATTAATCATCATTGAGCGGCGGCGCGGCGCGGCGGCGGGCGGGCGGAGGGGGCGGCGCGACCATCTGTCCTGACCGGGGCCTCTGGTCTTTGATGCGGAACAACGGTCGCGCCGCCCTTGACTCAAGGGGCTGCCTTCCACACGTCGCTGCTCAGGCCGGGAGAGGGGGGGAGACCTCCTGTTCCTCGCGGAACGGGAGCAGGCCCCTCCTTGCCCGGTCTGCGAAGCAGGGCGGTGGTCGTGCCATCTTCGCTTCAAAACGACCACGCCGCAATCGTCGCCGGCGCGCGACACGTTCCCGTAGGCCGGACTGTCCTGGTCGAGAGTGTGTGCCGCCAAGGCGGGGCTACTCGGGGACAGTGCCGACGGGAAGCGGCTCGTGAGACGACTCCCGCGAAAGCACGGCTGGCATCCGTGGCGTGGGGCTCGCCTTCGAAAAGTCGGGCATGGCTCTCCCCGCAACTCTGTCGCTAACACGCGCGCACCACCGAGACTGTGGTGGGCGCGCTGCGGCCGCACGTCTACCTTCGTCATAGTGCCACGACGTGCGGCCTAGAATTAGCACACGCGCCTCTGCTTGCATACACTCATACATTGGATTGTCATCGCCTGTGAGTGCGAGATTAGGGCTAGCCGCAGGCAGCTAGCCCCTGAGGAGGGCGTCCATAGACACCTCACTAGACCCCACACACGGTCTCGTCCGTGCCTCGCCGGCCGGAGAGATTGCTGGAGGTAGAGCAAGCCTGCTCTAGCCTCGCATGTCACTTCCTGTCGTCTGTTGTGTCGTTGTGCCCTTGTTTGTTCTCTTGGCACCGTGGAGTGCTGGGCGGGGCGACAGGGAGGATATGGCCTTGAGTTATGTGTACGCCGACTCAGGGTGTGTGGCAGCCCGCTGGCTGTGTGTCTTGTGAGCTTGTTTGTGTCTGTGTGTCGCTCGTGCGTGTCGTCATCATCTGTCCAGCGTCCACCCATACCGCGTTGGTGTCCAGTCCGAGCCTGGCTGTTCTTCACCTTTCTACCTACCTACCTACTTGTTGTGTGTTGTGTGTTGTGGTGGTGTGCGGTGTGCGGGGTGTGTGCGTGTCGCGCGTTGTGTGTTGCGTGTTAACCGCGGGGCCTCGGCGGAACTGGGAAGAGGACCGCCGCAAGCGGCGTGGCGTGGAGCGGTTGAGCATCCCTCCGGGGGCCCCTCTGCGCCGGGGAGGGGAGGCGTTGTTGGAGGCTAGGACGCAAGCAAGCGTCCGTCGCCCTTTTCAAACTCGGGGGAAATCTTATAGCGATAAATCATTATAGGGGAAAGAAAAGAAATAATATCAGCCGGGTAATCCGTTGTTTAGTTCTTTTTCGCCAGTCTGCGCCCTTGTTGTGCCAGTGTGCTGTGAGAGAGGCTTGTCTCTTAAGAATTCTTTTTCCCACGAAAGGTTGCCTGAAAGGTTGCCTGCTGCGCTGTCCGCGCCGCCTCCGCTCCGGCGTCCGCTGGCGCATGGCGGCGGCCGCCTCCGTCGACTGGCCGGTGCTCGACATCCTGCAGGATGACACGGAGGATGCGGCCGCCGACTCGAGGCTTCCTGGCGAATCCCAGGCTCCACTGGGACCGCTGGACGAGCGTGGTGACATCAGCAGCCTATCGCCACGCGAGTGGGCGTACATGTGCTGCCTGCTCGATCCGGACGACGGCCAGGCGCCCGACGCAGGCTATTCGCAGCTGCGCGTGAAGGCGCTCGACGAGCACCCGCACGCACGCGCCCGTCGCTCGCCCTCCAGCCGGCTCCGCTCTGCGGCCGATGTCCTCAGAGACGCGCAGGCGCGCCGCCTCAGCTCCATCCTCGCAAAGGAGGCGACGCGCGTGGAGGAGCTGAAGTCCGAAGGACGGGCCCCGGCGCGAGCGCGTGACGCCGATGCGGGAAGCTCCTGGTCACCCCACCCGACTGCCGCTGCGCTGTCGCCGACGCTTCGGCGTGATGACGCCGACGGCGCCGCCACCGCGCTCGCAGCCCTCGCCGCCTGGCATCGGCACTCGGTGGCGATGGCGCAGAGCCCATCAGCAGAGGCGCCGGTGGGGATGCGGCTCGCCATGTCTCTCCTCGCCACCGCGTGCACCCACGGCGGCGGTGAGGCGACCCTCGTCCAGTCGATGGCAGACTCGCTGGCCGTCGAGCAGGCTGACCCTCGGCCCGCCGCGAGGAGCCGCGTCTCGCACGCCTGACCCCGCGCTCCCGGCTGGTCAGGCGCTCGACCTTTGCGCTCCCTCCGACATCCCCGAGGGCCTGCCAGGCGCGACCACCGTCCCGGCCGGCTGCGTGCGCGCCGCGCCGCTCGAGGCGATGGACAGGCTCGCGCGCGACGGCGCCTCTCCGCCGCCGCTCCGCATCGCCGCGCTGGAGGTGCTGCTGTGGATCGCGCTGCGCTCGGGCCTGACCGAGGCGGCGCTCCGCGCGGCCTCGGCGGCGCACGACGCGCTCTCCGCCGGCCTCCTCTCCGACGAGTCGACCTTTTCGCGCCGGCTGAGCGGCGTGCTCGGCCGCTTTGCCCGCCGCCCGCCGCTTGCGCTCCAGCCGCCCGAGCCGGACGGGCTGCGCTCGGACCCGCTGCACACGTGGGCGACGCCGCTGCTGCGCGTCGACGCGTCCGAGCCGAGCAGCGCCTCCGGCGGAGCCTCCGCGCTCGTCAGCCACGTTGAGGACGTGCCCCGCTCGAGCGCCCGCGCGGCGATGCATGGTTGCGGGGAGATGCACGACGGGTTCCACGGAGACCCGGACCGCGGCTTCCACTTCTGGGTCTACCCTCGCGGCATGAGCCTGAACGCGTCGCGCTGGGACACGCACGAGAGCCCCGGCGCCTTTTGCTCCAACTGCAGGCTCGTCACGGTGCACGCCAACGGGATCGTCGAGTACGTCTGCATCGGCCACCAGTCGGAGGCGCTCCTCTGCCTCGAGCCGCTCTGCTCTGGCCGGCACTACTTTGAGCTGTCGCACGACGAGGAGGGCGGCGACGAGCGCGGCTTCTGCAAGTTCGTGCGTGGCCTCGGCGTCGTCACCGGCGATGCGGCGGCCGCGATGTGCGGGGCGCCGTCGGCGGACGTCGTGACGCAGTGCGCCATCAACGACCAGATCCAGGCCGGCGCTGTGGGCGTGGTGCCTCCGGGCGTCGGCGCGGCCAACCTGCCCGCGAAATGGCGCGCGGCGTCTCCGCTGAGCTTGGCCGGCCTCACCGACAGCCGGTGGCGCAGCTGCCGCGCGCTCGGCCTCCTCGTCGACTTGGACCGCTCGGTGGCGCACGTCACCGTAGATGGCGCGGCTTGCGGGTCGGCGCCGCTGCTGCTGCCGAGGCCGCTCTACGTGTACGCCCTCTTCGCCGACCGACCGGGCTGCGCCAGGCTGTCGCGGCTGCCCTACCTCTCCCGCGCCACCGGCTTGAGTCAGGACTCGGCGCTCCAAGGCAGCGGCGCCATCAGTTTCGTGCCTTGCGACGGCGGGTCGAGGGTGGAGGCGGTGGAGCTGATGCCCGACGGGTCGGCGGCCTGGCTGCTCCAGAGCCGGCGCGAGCGAGGCGAGCGCGCCCGCTTCCGCAGCACCGAGCGGCTGCCCGGCGGCGAGAACCACTGGCTGGTCGTCGCGCTGCCCTCCACCTCGCCGTCGACGCTCCACTGCCTCGTGGGCACCACCGACCTGCCGAGGGGGGGCGCCGAGCCGCTCTCGCCGCTGCCAGCCGGTGGGAACGCCGACCTGCAGGAGGACCCGTCGGCTGCGAGCCCCACGGGCCCGCTCAGCGAGGAGAGCGAGATGGGTATCGAGACTCCGGGGACCGAGAGCGACGAGAGCAGCGGCCACGAGGGCCTTCGCTACGGCGGCGGCGGAGCGCCTCGGGCGGGCGGGCGGGCGGCCGCGTCGGAGTGGGACCAGCCATTCCTGGCGGATCGGACGCGGTCCAGTCGCGTCGGCCGCGGCCCGGGACGCCACGCGCGGCCTGCGTACGTCGCAGCGCGACAGGCCCGGCGAGGCGAGCTCGAGCGGGAGGCCGCCGATTTGTTGCGCGACAGCCGCGACAGCCACCTCTCGGGCAGCCGCGTCTCTGGCATGTCCGATTCGCAGCAGTCCACCGAGGTCTGTCGGATCTGCGGCCAGACTGGGCACTCCTGGCGGCATTGCCCGAGCTTGCCGCCAGACGTATTTGACTCGCTGGCCGGGATGGGCGAGGACGTGTACCGCCTGAGCAGCCAGCAGAGCGCTCTCACCGAGGCGACGTCCTTCCGCAGCGACGAGGCCGCGAGCGGCGTCGAGCTTGGGGAGAACGCTACCTTCGACTTGGGCCTGCTCAACCTCGGCGAGCTGAATATCCTCGGTCTGCTGCTCGCGCGGGGGACGCTCTCTCTCTTCGCAAAGACCGAGGATGGGTGGGCGCACCTCGCAGACCGCACGGCCGTCTTTGGAG